TTTGACCTTGTTTTCGCAACTTGGTCAAACAACTTCTATTAAGAATTGATAGTTGAGTTTCTTTGCAATGAGATGAGTAGGCCTCACGTTTTCATTGAAGTTCACTTTGGCTAGCGTCCCAAAAGGTGATCTCATCCAGGATTGACTGCGGTTTCGATCCCACTAAAATGCCCTCTGTACTTATACTGAGATTTGTTGCTGGGTCGTGAGTATCGTGGCCTCGTCATCACTCAGCTACGAAATCGTTAAATCACCATAAGCAAGCTCAGCTATCTGGATTCTCATTCAAGAATTACTGATAATCTCGAAAAATGCTTATCTATAAAATAAGTAACGTGGTCAATTGCCATAACCTTGCTCTCTCAAAAGGTGTTCTCATCCAGAGCGGACTACAGTTTAAATCTCCCATAGGCGTTACCAACTATGACAATGCAGAGTGTAATCTCGACACATTGCCCCTGGGTGTGCTGATAAGACCTAGGCGAAATGGAAACTGCAGTCCACTCTGGATGGGAAAACCTTTTGGCAAAGCATAACTATGTAAAATTAAATGGAAACATCAGCTCTACTCATATCATTGTGAGAAAATTCAACTACCAGTTCTTCATCACCTTAAACATAATAGGGCGAATACATCTCATATAACTGATCCATTGGTAGTCTCGAAACCCTGCTTATAAACCAAAAATGATCATGTTAAAGCATTTCATGCAATGATTTAATTGAAGAGAAACTCATGATTACATGAACTTGTTAGACAATTTCTTAAGGTGAATCATATTGTTGAATAAAATGGTTCGTGTATAACAATCAAAGTGTCCCAGACCGAATTTCAAATCCAAGATACATGTTTTTCCACTGCTTTTGCAGACCCCAGAAAAGCAAACAAGACTGGTACACAGGCCTGGCAAAGCCGCGACAGACTTGGTGGGTGCGTCGTCTAGCCAGAATGCTAAGCGACAGAAGCAAAGACAGCGATCGAATGATATTATGGCATCGACAGTTCCGGTCCATCCTCATCTGAAGCCAGACATTACATGGTTGGTCAGTCTACCACGACGCCTTCAAACGCCGGAAGAGCGCCGGCGAACCGAGTTATTCCGTCTCGAGACTATCGAATTACTTGAGTTGACTGCGCCACACTTCAGTCACCCGTTCAACCGATTCATTCCAGCTTATCATCACCACTTTGGCCGACAATGCAGAGTATCCGACTACGGCTGCAATAAACTGGTCGACTTGATTGAGCTGATACCAGACTGCGTTCAGGTAAGGCTTTACGGCCCATTTTAGAGGCGTCAAGACGAAAAACGTGAAGGGCGGAATTTCATTACGTAAACGCCTATTGGAAATGTGTTTATTGTTTGATATTCATATTCTAATATTTCGAGCCGGATACGTCATTTATTAGTACAATTCGATTAATTAGCTTGTCTTATAGTCTTAGTAAATGTACTCTGTTCACGATACATTAACCACAAAGTAAGAATTAAAGGATGCGTTGGAGGATGATAAATTAGTTGCCTCTGCTAAGCCTAGTGTGTATTACCTATTTACTCTAAAATAAACTGTTGGAATATAATACAAATAAATTGATAATTTATTTCTACTATAGGAAGCTAGTCAAGCTACTAGTATTGTACTAATATATTTTTCTTAACCCGACGAATTCACCCCATACTGCAACAGTATTCACAATTATTTCCAGCACCTGAATTTTAATTGGTACATTCAAAGACGCTTTGACATCCCCTTAATCGGTGTCGTCAATAAGTCCTAACCATTACTAAGGTTGAGATAAAATGTGTTAAAGTAGCATGTAAAGTCCATCCCTAAATCAACTTACTGCTGAACTTATATATGAATAGCAAAATGGCGTGGCCGCTAGTTTGGTCACTTCTTTTTCCACTGGATACGATTCTTTTGTTCTTCTTCTTGCGAAAGAAAATTGATGACATAACAAGGGCCACGAAATCTTCGTATCCATACCTAGGTTCGGCAAAATATTTGTCATAGGGTGGATTTCATTTGTCTTTTTGGCGAGTAGGAGTTCGGGGCTAAGGATGACAAAGCCCAAAGACGATGCCGAATACAAAGTCATCACAACGTCAAGAACTGTATCTAGTCAAGAATTTATGTTAATATGGCAGAAATCATATTACATCCCACATTCTTCAAGGTCCTATTTACACTGATACCAAGTTAAAAAGAATTGTTCGGATCAATCTTATACAGCGAAATAGATGTCCCTTTATTTTAATTTTCATACCCGCTTTGCACAGACTAACTTGCTTGCCGTTTGAATAAATCTGCTAAAGCAAGTTTGCACAAACAGACAAGGGCCGTTCGTACACATTCTAACTTTGCATGTGAATGCATATATGTATGTAATGTATGAATCGCCAAGGTTCCCTTAATGATGTGGCGCTATAATAAAAAATAGTCTTGCTTATAGATGAAAAATTATCGGCAATAAGTAATACCCTCACATCGTGTGTTTGAATACCATTGAAGTTGCAGATGAGACTTAAACGGGATCGAAACTGCATTCTACCATCACAAGGGTTGAACATGCTCTCTTTACCTCCAATAGGAATAGCTATTCCCCTCCTCTGGTTTGGATTCAATTAAAATCACATCAATGCTTTTGTAAACTATGCTACTGTATAGAGGTTGTTTGACCTTGTTTTCGCAACATGGTCATATTGGTAGGAAGACTCATTGGAACGCACC